AGAGAGAGAGAGAGCGTGCATGCGTTTTTGTGCGTGTGCGTGTGCGTGTGCGTGAGAGAGAGAGAGTGCGTATGCTGAGAAAAAGAGAGAGAACAAATTCGTTAAGACGAGAGAGAGAGTAGGAGTGAGTTGGAATGATAAGTAGCTGTTACTGACGTTGAATTAGGCCAAGTCTATAGAAAAATACATGCTATGATGGCGGGAAGTGTGTGCCAATGTACCATGTGCTGACCGCAGGGACATCGTAGCAGTAAATTCAAAGCTTCCTACTTTGTTTGCGGGTGAACGCTCCTCAAGGGAGAAGCGTTATTGGCCCTGGTAAACACGGATCTAGAGCCTGAGCGATGGCCGCACTGGGCCCTTTTATTTTATTCTGCCTGCAATTTTCTCATCAATGCGGCGGATTAGGGGTCGCAATTTACGAGAAATGTCGGGCATTGTCACGCGTGGATGGATGCAGATTGCGGGAGCGGGTGCGCATGCATGCGTCACTAGTGTGTGATCATTCGTGCGCGCAATAGTCACATCACATCTGCTGTTGCTTTGCAATGACTAGTCTCTTCACATCCAGTAGCTTCAAAGAAATCAGCCTCTTCGGCTCACCGCCTGCAATATATTGACATTGCTGCGGGTGTGCGAATGCAGGATATTTGCATCTCCTGCCTGCTTATCCATGCAGCAACTTTTCATTGCATTCTCTGCATCCCCCGTGTAGAATCTTATCGTGGCTTCCCGCTTCCCCATAAAACATCACATTGCTTCATACTTTCCCATACAGCATCTTTTCATTGCTTCCTGCTTGCCTATACAGCATCCACTGATTGCGGCCTGCTTCACTGTGCAGCATCGATTCATTGCTTGCTCTTATCTCCACTCAACATCTTTTCATCCCTCTTTATGCACACACTCCATCCTGCTTAGCACAAAGATACTCAGCTGTGTAAAGATTTCTCAATAGTATGCAACGACACAGGTTAACAAATGAACGCATCCACAGATCATTTGTTGTAATGTTGTCACGTTAACATTTTGTGGAAAGTGCACATCTCTCCAATAACCAAGAAACGAGTCTATTTGCCTATCCAAATGGAACTAGGAGTATATATGCTTCAGTTCATGAAATGCCAAAATTATTTTGATAAATGTTTCATAAATATTAATGTGGTCACATTTTATCTCTTTATTCCATGTCATTTTACAGATTTCATCATTATGCTGAGTATGGCATTTATTGATTTTTAGCTTGAAAATCACAAACGCTACTTTTTAGGCAATTTAAGGTTTTCAACTCTTCGGTAATGTTGCACTTTGCATTCTGAAAATGTGTGTGGCTTTGCAAACTTGGCACTTGACAACTTAATATTGGAAATTGGAAAAATATAAGTGCTTAGCCTATATGCAGATGTAGTCACAAGTGACAAATGTGTCATCGAATGTAAAGCAGTTTTGGATTCTTTAAAACACATTCTCATACACCTTAGAGCAGGCCCAACTTAATAACTGCATGTTCATTGGAGAAGCCCAGTTATTTAATAAATAATTATGATGGGTTAGGGTGTTAATAATGATTCCAGTTGAGAATTTTAATTAGGCCAGACCACCAGGTGGGAATATTACAAAAGCTTAAGAATTAGTCTCATTTTAAGAGTAATACTAATAGTGTGGGGATTATTTGTACAAGGTTGCATGTCTTGTGCAACTCCTTAATTTATAACTTAATTATGCACTATTTTTGACATTCACGAATAAGTTGTTGGCAGATTATTACTTTTAAACGGCTAACTTATTCATGTACATGTTTTTCGTGGTTTATTTGAATCCTGATAGTAATATTCCTTATGCAACTCATTCATGGATATATGTAAAGATGCATCATTGTTAACACCCATGAATAGGTTTCAGGCTATTCATACATGTATGCAGCGTACATTTGTTGTAAGCCTACATGAAATTGCCACAAAAAACTCAAGAATTTTACATGAAATATAAGCAGATACACAAGAGACCCTAGATTGCTCAAAAAGCAGCGGCTTTGATCGACGAGCTAAAATTGACACATACTTTGCTCAGCGAGATAAGGAAATATCAAAACCCATTGGAATACAGAGCTAAAACTACAGATTTCATCATTTTAATAGTTCGTGAATATTTGTTTAAAGTTCGAAGCGATTGTGTGATTCAAGTCCAGGAACTGTCTCAAACTATTTGGTGATTTAAGATGCAATAACCTAACTACTACGATCTGTTTGCAGTGAGTCAGAGCTCTTGCAGTGAGGAGGACGTAGATTCCGAAGATTCGGACACAAGAGAAGCGAGTGGCTATGCGTGCCGGCATTGTTTCACTACCAGTGAGTATGCAGTTGTGCTCCTCTACCTACATCTACAGTTAATGCAGCTAATGCAGGTCAGATACCGTTGTGTCACCATGATTGTGTAACAGTGGTCAGCCAAACCTTCCTAATAACTGTTTTCTGTTCCACCAATCATGTTTCTCTACGTTGTTTTCACCCCTCTCATCCCCTTCTCTTCTCATTAATTTATTTTACGAAGTGCATGCATCTCGCAAACCTGCAGTCATATGTAGTCTGCCCTTTACTAATCGCTTCTATCTCTTATCCGTGCTCCCACAGTCCTTACCTTCACTAATCTCATCCCATCCCTCTCATCCCATCCCTCTCATCCACTATCCTAAACCCTGTCACTCTTTTCTTCTCCTTAAATTGTTCGCTGTCCCTTAATCCTTCCATCCCGTAACTGTGAGTTATTTCGCCCCTTCCCGTGATTTAGAACCATCGAGTCGCGCCTCTCTGTGCATTATGTAAAGTGGTGGCAACCGCATCCGGTGTTAAGAAACAGGCGAGTGACAGCGCGCACGAATGACGAATCGCCGGCCCGCGGGCCGGGCGGCCGCAGCGTGGCAGCCGCACGCTGTAAATCTGCTGTCGGCGTGCGCTAATGGCCGTTATTAATCGCTCTCGCGCGCGGGCGCGGGGGGGGGAGGCGCTCGCCATTTTAGCGTGCGCGCGGGGAGCCGTAATTCTGGATTAACGGGAGGGAGGTGCGGACTCGCTCTGGCGGCGGCGTCCTCGATGTGGCCGCGCTGTTATTTACGCGCGCGCTGCGTCTAGAATTTTGAGGTCCTTCATCTGATCAAACGAGAGTGCACTTCATACGACGAAGACGGGAATAGTCGAGAAGAACAGAAGGGTCGATCGCTAGAGTATACATGTTGAGCTTTATAGTGTAAGCGATGGCGTCTTGGGACACTCATTACTGATTAGTAACACAGGCCACACTGCATTAGCTGCCTGTTGCAATGCGAACGATCGATACAAACAAGATTTCGTTAAGAGGGAATGTTTTTGATAATCTCCTCATAGTTTTATTGTAATCTTCGCATGAAAGGCTGCGGTGGTTCTTCAGTACAGCTGGGGGGGGTTGTTGTCGACCGCTATCGACCGTCAATCCTACCTGGGAAATTCTCAAATTACGTATGTGTTATGCAGCCTCCGATTGACATGTAGTGAAGATCTATGTGTGACAATAACAGGTTCCAAGGACTGGCACCACGGCGGGCGAGATCGTGTGCTGCTCTGCACCAACTGTCGGCATTACTTCAAGCGATACGGCTACCTGCCCCCGCTGAATCGTGACGAGGAGGAAGTGCCACTTTTCATGTTTAAGCCCAAGGTCGAGCAAATCGGTGCACTGAACGGCGACGGCGACAACAAGACTGTAAGTAGAACTGATAAGACTCACTCGTAGATTCTGAAGGTTCTTCATTTCGGTGAATTGCACTTTTGATCGTTTTTTTTCCGTCGGTTTTCACATTTTTGGCTGGACTCACTCGTAGATTGTAAAGATTCTATAAGTGAATTTCGCTTTCGGAGTTTTTTTAACGTCGGCTTTGACGTCCGATGTTAAGATATTCGCACATTTTTGGCAGGACTCGTAGATTGTGAAGATTCTATAAGTGAATTGCACTTTTAGTTGTTTTGCGGTTGTAATTTGTTTTTAGGTTTTAATTTGTGGGTAGTTTTTTGTCCGCCGGCTTCGGCGTCCGATGTTAAGATGTTCGCTTGTTTTGCGCAGGACGTTGCCGACGTCACGTGTCCTGTGAGTGCGCGAAGCAGTCCGAGCAGCATCGTAGATGGTGTCATAGTGCGTGGCCGCCAGTCACCCAGCACTGCCAGCACCTGCAGTAACAGCAGCAGTGGTGACCACGCTGGCCGGAAAAACAAGGTGAAGCAGCACAGAGATAACAGATATAGTGTTATAGATAACAGATATAGTGTTATAGATAACAGATATAGTGTTATAGATAACACCTAATAGAATAAGATAAGATAAGAATAAATAAGTTTAAATTTTAATTAATTTACATATAAATAAATAAAATTAGATATAACATTCTACAATTGGTTGAGGTGGATACTTCGTCTTTGGATGCCCTCTTGTTTGATAGAGTGCCCATGTCTGCACACCACTCACACGCGGCCACAGCCTGAATTATTCTTTCTAAACACTCATTCCCGCAGTATGAAAACGGGCCCGGAAGTGCCGCAAAAAGCGAAGTCAGGATGGGGACGACATCGAGAACGGGCGAGGAGCAGACGTGCCCTCTGGTGGGAAGAAGAACGAAAGAGCAGAAGCGGGTGGTGAGTCTGTCGGAGTCGGCAACGACCGACAGCGGTAGCGTGTCGCACGAGGAGAACAGTAACGATGCTGAGATGGCCAGCACTCTATCCTCGAGAAGTCCCTCATTCCCGGAAGCAACCCCAGCCTCATAGGAGTGACCAGCGACCCACTAGACCACACTCCGGCCCGACAGGTACTACGGTTCACTACGCCATATTTTTCGCGTCCAGATATGTCGCGATCAGACCTTGACGGAACAATTCCGCGAAGTGGTTACATTTCAACGGCTAAAGCCTGCGGTCGGTGAACTTATTGAATATATTCGGCTTAAATTATTCAGTATGGAATTATTCCGCGTTCTTGCGCAAATTCGCGAAACATAAACCACCGCAAAATATACCAGTGATATACAGGTAAGCAACCATGCGCCATTGAACCATTACGTTCCACAACAGTGGCGTAGCTAGGATTTCTCTTCAGCGGGGGGAGGGGGGGGCACTGGGGGGCCTACATTCGTGGGGGGGGCACACATATATCCACTCTTTCTTCTGTAGCTATTACTGTCCTCTAACGGGCACTTGTTTTAATTCAAATATTTTTTTTATCAAGCATGACTTTTCAGTGGGGGGCACCCTGGGGGCCCGGCACAGAAAATTTGTGTGCGGCTTCGCGCGCGCGAACTCGGGGGGCGCGCTGCCCCCCCCAGGGGCCCCCCCCGCTCAGCCTACGCCTCTGTCTCCACAATTAGAATAACAAGCTGCATGGAAAGTCACACTCTTTGTTTCACTTTTTACGACAGGCAGACTTGACGTTACACGACTGCAAAGCGTATATTTTGAGGTGCGCCTTGGGAGCTCACTCAAGTAGATATCTTTTTTTTCCACATTTCAACAATTGATTCTCGTTCGATTCAGCACGAAAGAGAAGACCAAAACGACTGAAAGTATGCGGCACGGTGCTGCCACCTGGCACCCGGCTCGCTGCAAGCTCTGCCGGCGCCAGCCCGCGACCACAACGCCACCGCTTTAGTGCTGTGGGTCCGTACGTCTCAAGCATGGACGCCTCTTAAGCCAAATCAGGAGCAAGGAGAGCCGCCGAGGGTTGCTGAGCGACGTCTCAGAGACAAATGGCGACTCGGACGTCAGCAGGGGGCGCTGCTAGCGTTCAGGCAGCGCGCTCGCCGAACAAAACGCGAGATTTTGGCCGCCGATCGTCGACGACGACGCTAGTGCGCGCCGCCGCCGCCCGACGCTCTGCATCGAGGAGCCGCCGCGTGCAGGCAGCGGAGGCGCAGGGGCGGGACCAGCGAGCGTGCGCCCCGGCAGTCCCACAGATCGCAAACCTATCAGCACGTCCCCGGCGTGCCGCGGACGTTAGTCCGCGACCCGTGTTATTGACGCTGCGCGCGCTGTTATGCGCACCGCGAACAGACGCCGAGCGCGACAGAGGGGCGCAGCAGCGATGGCGGCAGAAGGTGGCGCCACGGAGCGGCGCGCGAAGAGCGATCGGCTGTGCATCAAGCAGGAGGCTGTGGATCCCGATACGAGTAACGAGGCGCAGGAGGAGGGAAGGGGGAGCATGAGGAGAACCCCCTCCCCTGAACCGACGCGCGACAACACCGAACTGTGCCGAACCAAGTCTGCAATGTGGTGAACATCGCCCCTGGTGTGTGTCGCCGTGCGTGCGTGCGTGCGTAGCGTCGTCAGTGTGTATGCCTGCTATGTGAGTCTGTGCTGTCTTCGGTGATGTGCTGTACGTGCTGCGGCTCGCGTGCGTGGCTGTGATCCCGCTGCGTGCGTGCGTGCAGTGCGTCGCGTCTGCGTCTGGCGTTGTACAGTGTGATCTAGTGTGTATGTGCGCATTGTGGTGCCGTCTGATGTGCGTGCGTGCGTTTTCAGCTGTGTGTTTGTCAGTGATCATGCTGAGTTGTGTGAAGTGCCGTGCACGTCGTGCGGTTGTGCGTGTTGCGTGTGCGGT